AAAATTCTCAAAGCATGTTACCAATTCTGTGATAGGAAGAATGTTTCCAAGTGTTGTCAATTTCACAATCACAAGTCACCATTTGAGTTTTAAATACATATGTTTAAATGAAAAATGAATTCTACAGTGGAAAGTACTTGAGGCAATACTTATTAGTTCCTTAACATACGTATCTTCATGGAAATGTGTCACAATAATCCAGAACATCAACTTATTTTGCCCAAAGAAATATTTCACTAAGTTCAGCAGTCCAGAAATTCTGATCATTTGTTTTCTACTTTTTCTTCTTCGCTGGTTCCCCTGGTTCTACTTTGCGCTTTTTAGAGGTGTGCTCATCTTTTTCATCATCTTTAAATAGGAAAGGAAGAGTTTCAATCAGTAATTTTTTTTTTCATTTTCTCAGTTATTGTTTTAAAACGTTCACATTCTCAATCAGTAATTTTTAAAAAAACAACATGTGAAACATTAAAATTTCACTGGCTTTATACCAAAATCATCACCCTCATCATCTAATGTTTCTTCCAAAGTTTCCCAATAAAAACCGAAAATTAACTATTAAAATTGACTTTAAACTGCACGTGAAAGTAAGCAATTTTTTTCAATTGCAGCAATACAAAATTCAGCGACCCTTTAGTGCTACATTAAGGTAGCTTAAAATAAATTATTTCCACAAAAATGAGGTTTGTTCTGAAAAAGCAGCTCCCACATATTCTCCCCTGTTGTACATTCCACTGCAGTCTATACTTTGGAAGAACGGCGTACCTTTTTTTTTTCCACAAAAAAACAGGCATCAACCTAACCATGACAGCATGTATGGAAGTGGCTATCAGCTATCCTTTTCCTTTTAATCTACTTTCTCTCCTACCAAAACAATTTCTTTCGCCCCACCTCATTCTCCACCCCTCCCAAATCCTTATATTTAGAGGGTATAAAGCACTAAGGAGTAGGTTCCACCTAATCCAATGGAGAATTTGGATAATGTTAGAGCATAACATTATTTAAACAATGTCCTTCATACCTTTCCAAAATGTTTAATTAGTGTTTGTAGCCACAGAAAATTTCCAACTCATAAAAATGCTGTCAATCCTGGGAAGAGTGGACCCTTCTATTCTATTTGAAAAAAAATCTAACTGTATATAGTTCAATAGGACATCGAGTAGCATAGAAAAGCTGCAAATTCTGAGCTCCCTAAACAAATGTGTGGTATTATTTTAAGAACTCCATATAGATAAACAACATGTAAAAGATGTTATGATTTACAAAGTACAAATTTATTTTGAGCACTTTACTGAATTAATTGTAGCTTTTGACTTTTTTTTTTTTTTTTTGTCGCTCTCTGTAGAGTGCTCTGGGGTCATAGCTCTCAGGAACTTCAAACTTTTGGGCTCAAGTGATTCTCTTCTCTCAGCTGTGACTACAGGTGCCTGCCACGAAGCCCAGCTATTTTTAGAGACAAGGTCTCACTCTGGTTTACGCTGTTCTCAAACCTGTGAGCTCAGGCAATCCACCTGCCTTGGCCTCCCAGAGTGCTAGGATTACAAGTGTGAGCCACCACGCCTGGCCTGACTTTATTTTCTTGATCAACAGATATTCAAAGTTCCACAGGTGCCACATGGTGATCTATAAAATATTTTGACATTGAAAGGGGCTTTCATATTAAAAGGTTTTGGAAACTGCTGATACCAAATCATAATTTTTTTGAAGTAAATATATTTTAAATTGTAAGCTTTCAATTTCCTTCTCAGAATTTCGAATTTGAAGTGGAAAATTAGTATTAGTAGCTGGTGATTCCTTTTCAAAGCTTCAAACAGCATGGAGATGTTATTCCTGTTTCCTAGAGCAGTACAGATTTATGTTGGCAGCATAGCAATGAGATACAATTCAGATCAATGACTCATCCCGGAAGTTACAAATCAAAGTTTTAATCAGTGGTTTTATCGCACAAACGCATAAGTACTACTAGCTCTACAAACCAACCAAGCAGTATATGGGTATACTGCTTGCTTTTACTTTTTTTTGAAGCAGAGTCTCATTTTGTCACTGTCATAGCTCATAGCAATCTCCAACTCTTGGGCTCAAGCGATTCTCTGGTCTCAGCCTCCACAATGCCCAGCTGTTTTTAGAGACAGGGTCTTGCTCTTGCTCAGGCTGGTCTCAAACTAATACTAATTTTCCTCAAATTCAATATTCTGAGAGGGGAATTGAAAGCTTACAATTTAAAATGTATTTACTTCAAAAAAATCATGATTTGATATGATTTGGTAGGCCACCGCGCCAGGCAGCCTTTTACTTTTTTTTTTTTGAGACAGAGCCTCAAGCTGTCCCCCTGGGTAGAGTGCCGTGGCATTATAGCTCACAGCAACCTCCAACTCCTGGGCTCAAGCGAGTCTCCTGCCTCCGCCTCCCAAGTAGCTGGGACCACAGGCGCCTGCCACAACGCCCAGCTATTTTTTGATTGCAGCCGTCATTGTTGTTTGGCGGGTCCGGGCTGGGGCTTCAAACCCGCCACCTTAGGTGTACGTGGCTGGCGCCTTAGCCGGTTGAGCTATAGGCGCCGAGCCAGCCTTTTACTTTTTAATTGAAGTTAATTATCATCAAAGATGGTTTAGGGGATTATTTTCAGTAATGATAATGTACAATTTGAAAATACTAAGTCTACTATAAAATTTACTATTTACTAAAATACATACATTAAAAAGACAATTCTGGAAACACTGCTGCTTCTAATTTGCCTCTTTGACAAGTAAATTTACTGAATAACAACAAAATCACAAACCAGTGAGGTTTGCAAAAAACCTGTGATTTTTGCAGAGTGCTAGTGCCATCTAGTGACAAGGCATTGTTCTAAAAACTAATGCAGGGGGAAAAAAATCTGACAATGTTCACTCATCAGCATTCCTGAGCCTTTTAACTCTGTGTTGTATGTGCAGATGTACCGGTGAGAAAACAATTTTTTTAGTATGGAACTCTAATCACCCAAGATTAATCACATGTTGATAAAGCTACAACTAATATTTAAGCCTTACCTACATTTACACCTGCAAAATAAGGAGTGCTGACAAGCAGAAAGGCCCAGGGATGAATTCTGAGCTTTTCTCAGTTTTTCCTCTGAAGTAACCAAAGTTCCTAGCAAAAAAAGCCCAAAGGGCAGCAAATGGGAAAGCAAACTAAAAACAAGGTAACTTGACAATCTGAAATTTATAGAATTTAAAAATATAGAGTTTCTGATAGGTGATATTATATGAATCAAAAAAACAGAGGCTAAAATCAATTTTACAGTGACTTTATGAACACAGAATGGGAGCCTGAGAAAGGGCAAATGTCTAAAAAGTGGGTCTTTTTGCTTCTGATTTGTCCTCTGACAGAAGGATCATCATTTAATGAAAAGGATAAAAATTTTCTATGAGAAAAGCAAGGTGACTTGGCTCATATTTGGAACTCCTTCTAACTTAACTAAAGGGCAAGCTGGAAAAAAGAATTCTTTCCTTCCTACTTGCCCTGGTATATACTGGCCTTTCCCACACAAGGACAGAGATGTGACAGCACGAGCCTATGGGAACCTAGTTCAGACATTAACTCCAGTGTCCCTACTGCCATCCTCCCTAGAGAAGGATAGCTATTTCTCAAATACTGTAGGCTGGAGAACATAAGAGACCAAACACCAGTTTAATAAGGCATAATTTCCATTTAAAGGCCTGAATTTGAATCCCTATTCTGCCTCTTCTTAGTTGTGTGAATTTGGGCAAATTCTTTTATCCGAGATTGTCCTCTTATCTACAAAATAGTAATAATGAATTACTTGGCACTATGTATCAAGTAGCTAAGAGTAATAAATTAGAAAGCTTGGGCCTGGGTGCGGTGGCTGATGCCTATAATCCTAGCACTCTGGGAGGCCAAGGTAGGTGGACTGCCTGAGCTCACCAGTTCAAGACCAGCCAGAGCCACAGTCTCTAAAATACAGCTGGGCATTGTGAAAGGTACCTATAGTCCCAGCTACTTAGGAGGCTGAGGCAGGAGACTCCCTTGCACCCAAGAGTTGGAGGTTGCTGTGAGCTATGATGCCACAACACTCTACTGAGGGCAACGAAATAAGACTCTGTCTCAAAAAAAAAATTTTTTTTGTGTGTGTGAAAGTATCTGCTTTAGAACTTGGCATTTTCGAGTTTTGTGGACAAGTAACCTCACATTTCCACATCTATCTTGTTTCTTAAGGTATTACAAGGATTAAAGATTATTTATGCAAAAGTGTTAGTAATTATATAAAATACTGTACAATGTGAGTTATTATAAATGCTCTCTTCATTCGAGGCTTCCAAAAACATGCCAATTACTAAAGATGGGCCTTTAGTAGTGACTCCCAATACATATCAGGAGATCAGCAAAAGAAATGGAAAAGCTGGGTGGTGCCTGTGGCTCCAAGGAGTAGGGTGCTGGCCCCATATACCAGAGGTGGTGGGTTCAAACCCAGCCCTGGCCAAAAATTGCAAAAAAAAAAAAAAAGAAATGGAAAAAAGCTAGGTAAAACTGGTAAGAACTCACGCTAGTTAGTTCTCCTTTCTCATAAAACATTATAATTTTCTGCATGGCTGTAAAAGGGGCAAAGAAATTAAAATGCGGACAGATCAGAAATCTGTTCAATAAAAATGGCATTTTTTCTTAAAAAGGATAGTCCAAAATATTTAGTTTAATTCAACAACCATCCATCAAATACTTACAATGTGCTAGTAACTATGAAACAAACATAAAAGGCCTGAATCTTGCTGTTGGAGGAACTCGTTTGCATAAAGGAGATAGACTTAGAAAAAAGAAAATCACACAGAGGTGGTAAGTGCAATCAACAGCATTAACACATACAAGGTACAGAGGTGGTACCTGAGATTCTTTTTTTTAAGTTGGATTCTGAAGGATGAATGAGTTTATCAGCCAAAGAGGGAAGAAAGATCACTTCAGACTAAGATGCAAGAGCAAACCATAAAATAGCATGGTCTAGTCAGTTCTGGATTTCAAGACCTTAAAGTGCTAGAAAGGGTTTAAAATGAGGGTGGAGATGGAGGCAGGGCCTATCATAAAAGGTCCTGACCCTATCCTGTTGAAGGGTTTTAAGTAGGTTAAGTTATATAATCACATATGACTTTCAGAAACTGAATGCTGGCTGGACACTGTAGCTCACACCTGTAATCCCTCTTTCAAAGGCAGAGGTGGGAGGATGGTCTGAGGCCAGGAATTTAAGATCAGCCTAGGCAACATAATTATGTTACCGTGACAATCAAATGAGAAATTAATTAAGTTATTTTGTCATACTAATTTTACCTCTAAAGCCACCTGCCTTAATATAAAATGAAGCCTTCAGCACTTCACAACTCTAGTCACAAGAAACCATGAATTAATTTGTATGGTTCTAATAATAAGGCACCATAAATCACAGAGACTACTGCCTGAAAAATCGGAGATTTCATTTTAAGCCTGAATAATGTAAGATCTTTCACTAAAACACAGCAAATACTACAGGCTGAGCTATAGAGACTTCACTTTAAATTCAATATACATGATCTTTCTCAAAAACAGGGCAAAAAGTATCCAATGACCATCACAGGAAGTATGCCAATTCACTAGATTTAAATTTTGTTCATTAAAAAAACTCACTTTTCTTAAACCCATCAGGGGGACCAAAAGATATTACCACTGGATTCTGACCTCCTTACCTGATTCCAACGTCTCCTCCCCTTCTGGCAGAAGCCTAGCTTTCTTAGCATTCTGTGGGGCATCATCACCATTGTCCTCATAAATGTTAGACCATTTTATAGCCATATCCAGCTCTGGAGGCGGAGGTTTCTTTTCAGTAGTGTAGGTCTCAGGAGGTGGGACATAGTTTGACTTCCATATTTTGAATTCTTTTGGAGGCT